CCCTCCGCCCCTCCCCTCCCCCGCTCCGCCCCCTCCCTCCCCCTCCGGGCGGGGCTCGAGTTTGAACTGAGCGGCGGGCCGGGCCAGGCGGGGTGGGCTCTGTGTCGTGAGCTCCGCTGTAGCAACGTAGCGAGGGGCGCGCGGCACCATGTCCCCGGGCAGCGGGGTGAAGAGCGAGTACATGAAGCGCTACCGGGAGCCGCGCTGGGATCAGTATGCGTCCTGCTACCGCGAGCTGCTGCGCTACCGCCTGGGCCGCAGACTGCTGGAGCAGGCGCACGCGCCCTGGCTGTGGGACTCCTGGGGCCCTGACGGCGCCTCGGACGGCTCGGGCTCTCCGGCGCCAGACCCCTCGCCCCGGTGCGCACCTGCCTCGCCCGTAGAGGCCCCGGAGGCCGGGGAGGCCGGAGAGCGGGGCGCGGAGGCCCCAGAAGCTGCGGAGGCCCCGGAGGCCGCGGAGGCCGGGGGCGCGGAGACCCGGGACCAGCAGGACGCCGCGCTCCCAGGTACCTGCCCAGGGGCGCGCGAGATGCGGGGCGGACGGGCGTCCGGGTGCCCGAGAAGGCGCTTCCTGTTTCGTGTTTTGGTTAGCTTTCTGGTTTTGTTTTGGTTTGCTCCGGGGACGGTCGCTTGGGGAAGGCGTGGCCCACTTGCGCCCTCTCCGGCGTCCTTAGGTGGTGGCAGGGACTCAGTGGGGGCGGCTGGACTGAGGTCTTCAGCGTGTGACTGCGCGCCCCTCGCGATGAGAACCTCGGGGCTGAGTTCTTCTTCCTGGTGTGCAGTCCTTTGCCTTCGGGGCTCTGGTCTGCAAGCAGGTGCCTTACCTGCCCACCGGTGCCCTACCCTTCGCGGGGTGCGGAGCTGGGGCGCCGGTGCCTGGTGGTCAGTTCTGCCTATTGTGGTTTGGGTGGTGAGGTCTTTCTTGGCGCTCCGGTTGAGCAGGCCTCTCCCTGAGGTCCCCGGACCCTAAGCCCTGAAAAAATAGCAGTTTATTGAGAGACTATTATATATCCCCACACAGGTCTGTATTTCCTCGTGCAATGTTCAAAGAAGTCGTAAAATGTAGGGGTACAGTTTTAATCTGTTTTTATAAATGAAGACATGGAGGCTCGGGATGCATAAGCAAATTCTGATGAGATGGAATTTTGACTGTGAGTCTGGCTAGGCGGTTGGTCAACGTGTAAGCAGTTCTCACGTCATCCTTGGCGGAGTGGCCTACTGTCATGTCGCTTGAGTCCCCACCATCTCCTGATGCTTGCGTGATCGGTGCTAGCATTCAGCTTAGCAGACCGCAGAGGCAGCAGGAACCGGCTTCCCGGCCATTCCTGTGGGAACGAGCCACCTGAAGTTAGGAGGTATACTGTATCAGGCTGAGCGGGCTTCTCTTCCTTCGTTGTCAGTGAAGGAGCTGCAAAGTGCACTGTATATAGAAACTGTTTAGGTGGCATCTTGGCTCAGAGGTACCCGTGTGCCTTGAGTTCATGCCTGGTGTGCCTTGAGCGCTTTCCGTGGAGAGCTATAGGCTCCTCCCCCTGGCCTCGGCAGTGCTCAGTGCTCTGCTAAAATTTCTAATTTGGGCATCAGGGAAAGGAAAAGGTTTTTCTTTCAGAACTCACCGTCGCAGGCTCTCTTCCACTGCTACTTCCTGCAGAGACCCTCTCGATTCTTGCTTTGGACAAGATTAAAAAAAAAATTTTCCCTGTGGGACCCAGGGGTGCTCTACCACCAAGCTACATCTCCAACCTTTTTTATTTTCAGTTTATTATTTTGATACAAGGTCTTGCTAAATTGCCAGGCAGGACTCTTGTGAATCTTCTACCTCAGCTTCCTTGTTGCTAAGATTACAGATTTGGCTACTGTGTTAGGCTTTCTTTCTTTTTTTTTTTTTTTAAGCCTTCAAGTAGATGCTTTTATATATTAGAGTGATGACCACTCTTTGGGATTGGTATTAAAAAACACTTTGTCTTACTGAAGCTATTTATACACATATCATGTATTTCTATACGGTGTATTGCAAAACTATGGTGATCCTCAGCCACACACACGCCATGTACTGCAGCGGCTTTCAGCTCCCCTGGCTTGTCTCACAGCTGCCCTATCTCAGTCTCCTGATTCCTTTCTGCCTCATCCAACACACTGGGTTGGTTCACTATTGTGATCATCTCAGCCTGTCCCTCTGGGGCCTCTGACCTACTTCAGTCTGTTCTGCCTGGCTGCTGCCCTGTCCCTGCTGCCTCTAGCACTGCCTGGCTTCTCTCTGGCAGTCGCCACTGCCATGTGGCCTCAGCCATCTTTCTCTTGGTCTCCCCCTCCTTGGTGGTGCTCACCTTAAGGCTGCCTGAGATGAGTTAGAGGCTGATTTTCTGAGGTCTTCATCAGAAGACAGCTTTACTTCACTTTCACAGTTGTGGCTGGGTGAGGAATTCTGAGTCAAAAGTAATTGTCTCATTAAAAATACAAAGATGGTCCGTGGATATATCTCAGTGGTACAGCCCCTGCCTGGCAAGTGCAAGGTCCTGAGTTTGATTTTCACTACCAACAAAATTATCCAAAAATATTGCTCCACTCTTCTTTGTCCTTCCTGTCTGAAAGTGGCCTAGGTTTATTTCTCTCCACTGTGTGAGAAACTTTTGGGAAATTTTTTATTTTTTTGAAGGGCCTCATACATGCCAGGCAAGTGCTCTATCCCTGAGCCCACCCGTAGACCATCTTTTCTTTGTTTTACAAAGTTAATTTATTTTTTGAGATGGGGTCTTGGTATATAGTTCAGGCTAGCCTTGAGCTCACTATGTAACTCAGCTCAGGCTGACCTCAAACTCTTGCAGTCCTCCTGCCTCAACCTTTTTGATGCTGGAATTACAGGCTCATGCCACCACACCTGACTATAAGTTTATTTTAAACTGATACGTGTAAAAACAAAAATCCTACATATTTATAGGGCATTTGTGATGTTTGTGTATGTGTATAATATTTAAATGAAGTTAAGCATACATTGTTTAGACAAGATAGATCTCTCACTATATAGCTCAAGCCCCCACCCTAGTATTGAAGAATAATATCCTCAGCCCTATTTTTATTTTTATTTGAGACAGGATCTCACTAAATTGTCCATGCATGGCTTGAACTTCTGATCCTTTTGCTTCAGCCTCCTAGTGCTAGGATTATAGGCATGTGACGGAACTGGGGATTGAACTCAGGCCCTTGCGCTTGCCAGGGAAGCACTTATTCCACTGAGCCATCTCCCTGGGCCCTTGCTTACTTTTTGATCTTACCTAACTTTACCCATTCATCAGTTTTTCTCTGGCTTATGGTAAGTGCTGTTCTACTCTCAATGTCCACCAGATCCACTTTTCTTGATTTCATGTGCGAGTGAAATGCAGTGTTTATTTTTCTTTACCTGATTCATGTCACTAACATAATTTCTAGTTCCATCCCTGTTGCTGCAAATGACAAGATTTTATCCCCTTTTATGGCCAAAGATTATTCATATATATATATATATATATTTTATATTTTTTTTTTTTCCATCCATTGATGAATAGACTGTTTCCATTTCTTGGCTACTGTAAATAGACCTAACATGGGAATGCAAATGTCTCTTTGTATCACTTTCATTTCCCTTAGATATATGCCCATTAGTGGGACACTGGATCATATGGTAGTTGTATTTTTAATTTTTTGAGGAACCTCTGTGTTGTTTTTCATAATCATTCTACTAATTTACATTCATCCTAAGAGCACATGGGTTCTCTTTTCTTTGCAATTTTGGCAGCTCTTGTATTTTGCCCTTTTGATAGTAGCCATTCTCACTGGAATGGTGTGGTTTTCATTTGCATTTCCCTGATGGTTAGTAATATTAGGCATTTTGTCACATCTTCTTTCCCTTCCCTTCCCTTTCCTTCCTCTGCCCCTCCCCCCTATCCCCACCCTCTCCTTTCTCCCCTCTTTCTCCTTTATTGGGGATTGATCCCAGGGCCTTTACACCAAGTTCCTTCCCCAGCTCTTATTAATATTATTGTGACTATTTTGTTTTTGAGACAGGATCTCAGTATGTCACTGAATTGCCCAGACTGGGCTCAAACTTGTATTCCTTCTGCTTCAGTCTCCCAGAGTGCTGGGATTTCGTAATTTTTTTTGTGATAGGATTTTATAATTCTGTTTTTGAGAAATGTCTATTTAGGGCTGGTGCCTATTTTAAAATTGGACTGTATGGGATTTTCTGGATATTAATCCTTGTCACATATATAGTTTGTTTTTTCCTTTCTTCCTCTGGATCTTACTTAGATGGATGTTAGACCTTATGAATATATTCTCTAATTTTCTAGTTTCTTTTCTCTCCCACTTCCCATCTGTCTTTCTGTTCTGTTTCCCTGGGTAATGTTCAGAATCATATCTTCCAACTCGTCATATACTTTTCATTTATGGGCTCCTATGTACAATGTTTTTAAATTTGAGAGGCCTTGAATTGTTTTCTGAAGCTGCCTCCCCCGTCCCTCCCTATTTGCTTCCCACACCCTTTTAAAAAGAGTCTGGTTCTTGATTCATGTACATACTTTTTTTGATTTTGGCCTTGAACTCACAGCAATCTTCCTGCCTCAGCTTCTCAAGTATTGGAATTACCCATGTGTGCCACCATGCCACGCCCATAGATCTTTTGTGCTGAGGTTATTACTAGAAGATTGTCTTCTCTTGGCATTTCAGGCATAGTCTGTTTCACACCCCCTCCTTTTCATTTTGCTTGTACTTCTGTATTGCCTTGTTAGAGGCTTTTTTCAAATGTTCAGTGAGTCTTGGCTTCCTTCTCCTTAAGAGATGGGGTTGAAAAGCTCCCTGGAAGGTTTGTGCTTCTGCGTGGATGTGTGGGAAGTGGCATTGCTTGGTGAAGTGGAGCGCCTTCCCATAGCCAGCAGGCATTACGGAGTGGGCTTGTGTCTCCAGTTTCTTGTTTCATAGCCCTTTTTTAGATTAGGTTTTATTTTAGAAAAGTTCACATGTGCATAATTTTAAACACTGTGCTTAAAATGAACAGAATGTTATCTTACCCCCTTCCTTACCACACATCCCTTACTCCTTCTCCCCTTAGTGTTTCTGTTAACATTGACCACGCTTTTCTCATTTAGTCTTATTAGATGGCCTTTGGATCTTTTTTTTTTTTTTTTTTAAATTTTT